AAAAAATAAATGCACAGCTGCCCTAGTCTTTGCCCATATGTGCAGTGCGACCAAGAAACATGTTCCTGGTAATTTTGTTGTCCGGAACTATGAATATAATTTTATTTCTGGGCCTGAAATGCTCAATGGTGAAAACAAATTTGAATATATTATAATGAGACTGATTTTAAATGAGAATAGTTTAAATAATATATAGTACAAATCTATTGAAGGGAAATGGTTGCTTTGTTTGATGTGGGTCCCATGCAACAACATACTATCTGTGTAAATAAAATAAATTGTTTACATGACATTTGAACGACCACTGCACGACAACCACAGTCTTTTTAAAGTTGTTGAAATATTATTGAAATATGTGTGTAACCTTTGTTAGATTCACCCATACTAAGTTTGCCTTGTTATATATCATAAACCAGCAATGTGTGCGTAAAATGAAAAACTTATTATATACTGTATTATTACACTGTTGTAATATAGCTAGTACTTGGATAATTTTTAAAATCAAAAACTATTTAGCACTGCTTGTGAGCATTTCATATAAAGAGAATGTGATGGAAAAATTACCTATTCATTAATAGATATTTTTTCTCGTGCGATTATGTCATTGTATCAGTGCAATGGACATGGGAAGTTTCATGGCTTTCTTTTTCTTCATTAGTCATGGGCATATGGACCACGTAGCAGGACTAATACACCATGCTTCTAAGCGTTCAAATATGCGCATGAAACCAGCTACGTATTACGTACCATGTATACTAAAACAAAGTTTATTGGTGGTTGCTGAACAATTATCTATTATGCATGGAAAGGAAATTGACTATTATAAGCACAAAGCTCCAATCGAAGACTTCAAATCAGGACAACAAATAAAGGTAATTCATTTCACTTTTCAGTTGCACACAGTGATCAGATATGGTTTCAACTCAGTCATAACTTTTGTTTTTCTGTCTACATAAGCATACACAAATTTCAAATCAAATTTGTTTTCAATCAAATATATACTTTAATGTTGCTTACGAGATTTAGTTATTTTGATCAAAATTGTTCAGACTCGAATGACACATTTTCTGTTAAATGTCAACAAAATTACAATGAAAAGGTAGTTTTTTCCTCTTTTGCTGTACATATGTTCTTCTTGAAAACCATAAAGCAAATTTGTGCATTTCATACATGCAGATTGCGCTATTTTTGACAAATATTTTCAAAATTTCCAGTTGTTTTTTTTTTTGTCAGAAAACATATAAACACTATATTCGTCTATGAATAATATACATTATTATTGCAATTAACTGAAAATTTATATTTCTTAAATTTTCAGCTTCCAAAGTCCTACTTTGCGACCCTCTTTCCAACAGTACACACAATTCCAAGCCAGGGTTACATTCTGTGGAAGGTCAGGTCAAAGTTGAAAGGTGAATACCAGGGGTTACCATCCAATGAGATTGCTAGCATCAAGAAGTCTGGAATAGAAGTCACAGAACAGCAGGAATATCCAGAGATTGCATTTACAGGTATTTCATGTTTGCTGTGAACTATTTTCTAAACATTGTTTGTCAAGCACTACTGTGCTGTTTTTTAAACAATAATAATCTGTGACAGCACCATATTGAACAAGGTGACAGGTCTATGGCAAAATAATATGTGAGGCATAGTTAAATACTTTATAATGACAACACCATTCTCCCAATCCAATATGGTGCTGTCAGGGATTTATAATTGTTGTTATAAATCACTACCATCAGACAAACTTGAAGGCTTTTTGTTTGAAATGAATTTACTTGCTAATAAAAGTTCACATTGCATTGTGATAGTAAAAAGCTACAACCTCATAAAAACCTCTAAATCTGATATCGGTGATTCATGAAAATACATTCCAAGTGAAAATAAAGTATTCTACAGTATTGTACCAAAAACGAGGGTGTGTGATATGCGATGAAGGTCTCACAAGAATTGAAGAATCGTCACACGAATTGTGAGACGAAATCACATGACAAACGTACATTTCTAGAAATTCTGATGCAAATGCATGTGTCTATGAGAGAAAAATTCTGATGCAAATGCGTGTGTCTGTGAGAAAAAAGGTTAGTTCTTGTCTTGGAATGTTCTTGCAAATGTCTTTGATTATTAAAAAGTGTGTTTTACATTTTTGAATATAACAGGATTTCTGTTTATGCAATCAATCCTTTCCATGCATCTACTGTGTTGTTTTACGCTATTGGTTAGAAATGTGTTAGATTGATGTGCACACATCATTGTATATCACACTACATACATTTTTTTTTTAAACAAGGAAACAGGGGCGCAGCGTCCTCATGCCATGGCCATGCGCCCCCTTACCCTAGGAAGCAGATCCTCTGGCAACCATAAAATTCTGATTGACCAGGGATCACATGTGGCTACAGTCTTCAACTGTGACCTGTCTGATAGTAATTTTAGCCCCAGGGAAGCCATAGAATGCTCCATTTTAACTTAGAATTATCAACAATTCCACACCCTGGTAGGGAGAACCCTATTTCCCCCCACTTGGTGGCACCGCTGAATTGCAGTGCTCCCTCTTGCAGTTTTTTTCTAAAAAACCCCCTGCCTACACAAATATCAAAGTACCCTTATATTGTAGATCCTTGATTGAATATATTTACTTAATTTTCAATTCACAGATTTTCCTGTGAAACATTCATGTAATTTATTTAATTTCACTTATCAGCGAATTTAAAACCCATACAATAACTAAACTTAGCTACCTGCAGCTGTTTCTCATTTGTTTATTTTATTGGATTTTACTAGTAAGATTAAAACCTATTGAATAATTAATGTGTTACAGTACATGCTACCATTGTTTTACTAAAATGTGACATCCAAAATCAAACTTTCATGAAATTTCATTTGTAAATAGCGCCCTCAAGTGATGAAAAACGTTGGTGTTGGCAGTGGATACACATTTTCTGAAATATTTTCGTTCACTTTTCTTAGGTGATACAACTTTTGAATGTTTTCAACTGGAAGGAAACGAATCAGTTCTAAAAGTGAAACTGCTTATAATGGAGTGCACATATCTTGATGACGAGACATCAATAAGCGAAGCAAGGGAAAAGGGCCACCTGCACCTCAACGAACTAGTGGAACACGCTGAACTTTTTGAGAACGTAGAATCTATTCTGTTAATGCACTTCTCACTCAAATACTCTACCCAGCAGATTGAAGAACTAGTAGCTTCAAAGCTACCTGAAACTCTGAAAAATAAAGTGTATTTGGCTTTGTCTGCTCATAAAAACTACAATTGTAGATAGTGTTGCTAGGCAACAATATTTCAAAACTCATCTCATGTTGGGGCAGGCTCTAATACAATATTTTTGATGACTTAAATAAATTGTTTCAAATTCCATGATTATCAGCATAATATTCATGTGTGTGATATATTTATATGATATAGGTTAAAGCGAGGGGGTCGTCACCTGCGCACATGCGGTAATTGAGTCCCAAGCAACAATAACAACACACGCTAAAAATGCAAAGGCTCATGGGTAGACACTTGTTTGTAAACAATGACGCGTTATGGCATCTAATGCATGTGCAGGTGATGATTCCCCTGCTTTAAAAGCTGATTTATTGATGTTTGGGCTGGCTGTCACTTGACATTGTTTCGACCCAATAGAGTCTGAACGTAATGGTTGTACTTGTGACGTGAATTCAGGATCAAGTTTTGGATTAATTGAGACCATATGTGCCCAATTAGAGCTATGCTGCTGAACTTTTTTGAAAAGGTTATAAATGTTCTCCATGTTTTTGAGGATTACTTTGTTACTTTTTAGGAGCTTGATAGAAGTTGCACCCTTTTCCTCTATTTAATGTTATATATATTTGACTAAACTTTCAAGCTACGTGATATAGCGGCTATTCTCTCGTAGTGTAATCACCATTTTTCTAGATTACTGACATAATACAGAGACGTTCAATGCAGTTTGATAATTGGGTAGTTACACGATTTGAAATTTTAACAGTGTCTATAATAAAAATCATTCCCAAGTGCCAATGAACCTGCAAGTATAACTTAATTATTTTGATTATTGTTTTAGTAATCCAACAAACAAAATGTTGCACACTGCTCATGTTGAACTACTGAGCCAAATTGATTTCCACTTTGTTGTTCTCTGGATGGTCTTTGTGACATCACTCACACTACATGCAGTTAATTACAGTAAGAGACAACATCAAAAGTTCAATGTAGAATACAAAACTTAATTCCTTTAGTTCCCCCCCCCCCCCCACTGAAACTTAATTGATAAATATTGATCATGGCGTTTTGCGGATGCTCTAGGTCCATGCCCTTAAATTGACCTCATTTGATGCACATATTTACACTCTGACCAAACCATCTCGGACCATTTCTCATCTTGGATGTTTGGTTTTTTTTCATTTTTTATTATTTTTGTCCATGATTGGATAGAAAACAAACAAACTACAAATACTCCAAGATTTGTTTGACTTCATTAAAAAATAAAATCGTTTTTGTAGGATGGAAACTTTTTGAGGTCAAACTCCCACTCCCACCCCCAAACTAAAGTTTTTTATCTGACATCGATCTTTTGACATCGTCCCAAACTCTCATAATATTCTTAATACTTATAATCCTATAGAGTATTTTCAATTTATCGTTTCATTAAATGAAGAAGTTGAAAAGTTGATGACCTTTGTCTAATTCATATTTATTTAATACTTTTGAAACACAATTTTCGATAAATTATTGTCCCTATTTATTAGCTTGAATGTCTGCAACAAATGCGATATGGTATTCGCATAACGTCTGTGTCGTAGGTTTCTTGCCAATAGCAGAAAATTAGTGTGCATTTGTTTGTGTTTTAGTTTCCAGCATCTAAGTCTTGTCTCCATTCAGGTTGCTCAGTACAGTTTCATGAAAGTTTTTTTTATACTTTTCAATAAATCTTTGCGATTTTATTTAAACTTGAGACAATGAAACAATGTATCTGATAATTCATTATGAAAAGGGGGACATATTTGTAGTCTGCACACATCCGAGTATTCAAGAGATTCTCTAACATAAATGTGCACCATTGTTTTGGTGTCTACAAAAACAATCACTGCTATCTACAACCTAATGAATTGTGTGTCCTGTAAACGCAACATTTTTATTTTATGATAAATCATAATCCAATTTGGTATACAGTATGGGGGTATTTAACAACAATACTGAAAAGTATATATATTGCATTTTTGGGATTAGACTGATGCACACCCAGACTGTTGATGTTGGATTGTTTCCTGTTTAACCATTAAGTTTCTTTCTGAATTTAAAGAATTACTTTTTTGCTCTGGTAGCTCCGAGCCACTGGTGGATCCAGAAATTCGGTGTGGGGGAGGGGGGCACGCTCCTATTGATGTGGCCGAAGTAGACCTCTGGTGGGCTGGGTTTGTCAATTGATTTTTAAATTTGTTTGCGGGTTGCGGGTTTTTTGCGGCCTAGCATGCTAACATCGAACGTTACATGTATGTACTTGCCAAAAAAGACAATGCATGATGGTAGTTAATGTAGTGAAGAAAATGTATTTTATTTTAGTTGCCCTTACTAGCCCTACTAAAAATTACCAGCCCTATTCCCTATTCCCTATTCTATTCCCAATTTTAAGTAAGCTACGCAAAAACTCGAAACAGATAATTTAAATTTTCCATTTTTAATCAGCTATCAGAAGGATGGCATTCAAGATTATCCAAATAGTATTAAATTAGTAAAATTTATATTGAAGCAGACCATGACAATTTGTTACCAAACCACAGAGCATGCAAATTTTAAATTTGTCCAGCCTCAAAAAAAGTTACCATTCTCGGCGAGTGGATGAGCAGTAAGTTCAAACACTGCTAGTAATATTCAACACTTAGTAATATGTATGTTTTACTTCCAAGTGTTCAACAATGTAATGATTTTCTACTAGAATTAAAATCAATTGTGTTCTAGTATATGCTATATGGCAATACGCTTTTGTTTGATGTCCTCAGCGTTACTTTTTAAACGATTATAAGCATCGGTATGACGTAGGGGTATATTAGTAATATTTTGAACATGTAACGATGATCATTCACACTCACCAGTTACACATAAATAGCCATGACGACACTTGGCAGCCGTCTTCATTTTCTTCGCTTCCTCTTCACCAAAATGGCAACAGTTTAAGGTATGAATGAATGCTTTAACCGATCAACTTGTTACATGCATTTTGTCATGTATCAAGTATGACCAAAGCACATTCTGAGAAAAATAACATACATGTACCTAATAACATAATATATATATCAGTGGGTATATACAAATGGCAAACCACTGTATCCTAATTTATTAGTTTGTGTATCAGTTGGCAGATACAAACGTTCAGATAAACAAATCCGTAAGTCAATAGTAACAACCCAATCTTTTATTCACGCAATAATATACAAATGTAGGATTTCCCTGGTTTTTTTTTAAGTATTTAAAAACACAATAAGAAATGACAGACTTCCGAGTGGAGTAAACTGTTTATGCTAGGAAATGAAATAATAGAAAAATACAATTACACATATTTTCATAAGCCATTTCTACATTTCCTAATTTAAGGCTGAACATGTTACTTTTTTTACATTTAATAAATGACATGAATGTACCTCAGTGGTACGATTTAACCAATCATGTGATTCGCACAATACAAGAATACAAGATTGTTAGAAAAACATATAAATTGTATCCAATATGCAGATGATTTAGTATTGGTGTCTAAGACTCCCGAAGGTCTACAAAATTGTTTAAATAAACTAGCCAACTATTGTGAAAAATGGAGCTTTGTAGTGAACATAATGAAAACGAAAGTGATGTTTTTTGATACTGGCAACAGAATTCTAAAAAATCAAAATTGCTCAATTAATAACCAAAATATTACAGCAGTGGGTGAATTCTCTCATTTAGTCACTATATTCACATCAAATGGAAAATTTAAATCAAATTTATTAATGTTAAAAAATAAATAAAACCATATTAAATCACAAAATGATGTCCCCTTCACTGTGTTTAAAGTTATTGACCAACTAATTTCACCAATTTGAATGTACGGAGCAGAAATCTGGGCTTGTGATTTATTAAAAGATGACAATAATCTTGAACAAACCTGTAATCAATTTTATCGTTTCATACTTGGTGTAAGTAAAACTACATCAGTAATCGGTATTAAAGGAGAACTTGGCAGAACACCAATAAGAATAAAGGCATCAACATTGGCAACTAAATATTGGTTCAGGCTAAATACTCTGCCTGATAACCATATACTTAAATGTGCTCTCGATGAAGCAGTTAAGAATAATTCTAGCTGGATAAAACATATAGAAAATATAATGGGCCACAGTGATTTTGAAACAATAAAATTAAACCATAAAGTGAATAACGTTGATCAAATATCAAATGTTGTTAAAACTCACAAAAGATTATAATGAAAAATTATGGAAAGAAAGCTTAAATTCTCCGCACAGTAAAAATGGTAAAGATGGCAATACAATGAGAACATGTAAATTGTTTAAATCGTATTTGAAAATAGAAACATACCTAATCGAAATAACAAACTTCAGCCTTCGGAGAATTGTGAGTAAATTTAGGCTTAGTGATCATAATTTAGAAATTGAAAGAGGCAGACAACAAAGACCAACAATTTGGTAAAAAATGTCATACAAATTCAGTTGAGGACGAACAACATTTTATCCTAGATTGTGAATTTTTCGATAAAGAAAGAGGGGAGCTGTTTCAAGAAATAGGAATTAAAAATAAACTAAATAAAACAGACAATTTCATTAAAATAATGAAATGCTTTATACCCCTAGCAAAGTTTCTAAATAAAGCAAAACAGAAATCAAGTATATGAAAGTGATCACCTCTACATTGGGAGAATCCTGTACCGGTAATTAACATTAATATGTTCCTATTGAATTTTATCTTATCATAGTTTAGCTGCTGTATTTTTTTATGATTTGTATTTTATTTCATTTACCATACTGCACCCTCTGATGGCATAGTAGTGTAATAAAGTTATTATTATTAATACAAGAAACAACAGAAAAATGCAATTACACATATTCTCATAATCCATTTTTACATTTCAGTAATTTCTGATTGGACATGTCATTGAAAACAAGACATGAATGTACACCATGTACGATTTAACCGAGACTTCCGCTGACTATTTCAGCTAATCTCTGGTGGTACTAATATCTTCTTGATCTGCATGGTCGACCAAGTTGTTTACACTTCTCACAGAGGTGGGTGGGGTGATTTTTAGAGGGATCACCTTCGTCAAGTCCATCCGGCTTTGCTAGAGGGGTCTGCAAGAAAGAACACATCACGATGCCAATTCATGGCAGGAGTCTAGGGGGGGGGGGGTCAAAATACAAGCAGTTGTCATGACAATCTTTAATCCAGAACACCAAGTTTAACAGCATATTATGCAAGAATCCCATGGCCATTGGGTTCATTAGCAATTATCTTGATTTGATTGGGAAAATTGTTTGGGGGAAATACAGCGCTCCCTGAGTCCACTCATTCGATGACCATTTATTACGAAACAAATTTTTTGGGTATGTGTCTCCACAACCGCGAGTAAAATCAATTAGACAAAATAAATATACTATAGACACATACACGTTGTCACAATACATAATTCCCGAGATGTTCGCCGTCGTGTCTTAGAATAGAACATTAAAGCGCGGTGGTCGTCGCGCAGCGCGTGTTCGAATTTCATGTAAATAAATAATGTATTTTACACGCGTTGTATACGTCGCTATGAGTCCCATATCGAGCAGGACGCGGCACGACGACTGCCGCCCTTTAAGTGAAAATATGGCTGCGCGTAAAACATGGCACTATATTTACAGTATGTTCCTCTTTTGTTACTTGACAAAGCGCTGCTATATATACATGTATTATCGTATTGAGCTATGTTGGATCGATGCCAGATATCTTGATTGGAATTCGGGTACTAGTACTCAAATAGTCACACTGTACGTGTAAACGAATGCAGGTACTAAGAATATTCCTATCATTTTACAAAACCTGATGACATTACGGGGACATTTTACCGTCAAGTTTTACAAGGAAACTATGAATTCCACACACAACTAATGTACAAAGCTTCAACCTTTAGACGCTTGTTTTTTTTTATAACCGGAACAATCTTTGACAATAATTATTGAATTGACCGAACACACAAATCGCAAGTTGCACTGAATGTACAAGTAATTTGCAAATGGGACGCATATCGACGTACATATAGCAATCACCGCCTTTTAAATTATTGTACTGACCTGATGGTGTGGGTAAACTTTAATGTTTGACAGTCTTGGCCACAGTTAGCCCAGCTATTGGCACTCATCCACTTACGACCACACTCACCACAACGAAATTCACCAAATACACGGCTTTTACCCTGGTAAGGAGTGAGTTTCTGCAAAGGTAAATATAAAATACGTGAAAATAAATCTAAATTTATTTCCACCGTGTTTTGAAAAATGCCTATAAACAATATTAATGAGATGTTTATTTTTATTTCCATGTGCAGACACTTGTCCGCTGACAGGATTGTGCTCCATGTATTTCGTGGACGGCAACTTAGTTTCATTAATCAGAGTCATAGAGTATGTGAGTGTTTCTAAACCAAGTCATTCACTCCCATGTCAACTAACTACAAACACGGTCCCTCATGCGCGGAGCTTAATAAACATAACAATAAAATAAAATATATAAATATTTAACAATGAATAATATAGTACAATGTATAATAACGCAGAAGTAATATGTTCTAAACAGTGTGTCTGTATACTTACCGACATTTTTGCCCAAGGTATACTCTCGGTAATACACTGTTATTGACAAATAAGCGAGGAGGGGTATTTTAGTCTGTCTTCTGTCCTACGCAACATTCGACTGAACACTACAAATACTATGTGCCGACTCGTTACTGTCTACGATTACGTCACGGGGTTTCCACTCATGACTCGCCAGTTCCAAGAAATTGAACGTCACATGTTATTTTATTATTGTTAAATCTACTTTTCCCACTTACCGTCACGTATTCACAGAAAAACTGTACAGCATACATTCACTATGATTGTCACGTCTCGTTGCTTTGTTTGTTAACTTTATTTACTTATTTTGTGAGACAGTTTGGCTCATCATCAATAAATTACACTGTTAATGTGTTTAATTTTGAGAATGCATGTTAACGAACTGCACCCACGGCATACACGAAATCATAATCTCGTGACCCCACACAGTAGCAGCAATTAACGAGCTAAATGTGCGTCAATTCAAATACTAGTACATATTTTAGACTATAGGCACATTGGGTAATTGATAATGGCAGAGTTTGAACTGCAGAGACTGCAGAGGTGGCGGCTCGATATTTTGCGGGGGTGTGTGTGGGTGTGCTCACCAACCTTGCGCCGAAAGCGCGACCCTTACGTGATCTGACTTATCAATGACATTTTGCAAAAAATAACCACCTGTTACAACTAAATGATTTTCAGCTTGCAAGGTTTGCGTTCGTGTATTTCTTTTCATTTGGACTAGTCAATATTGTAGTTATGATGACCATATCATTTGATCTAAGCGGCCTCGCGTTGATTAATCTCCATGGAATACCACGGGGGAAATATAGTGATCAATTAAATTGCAGCGACAGTCCCGGGCCCCCAAACTGGACGAACCGAAAAGTCAAGTTCTCTAACGACAATAATATATATATGAAATTCGTGTATAATTTTGCATGGAGCTTGAGTCAGTTTGTTTTAATTATTCGGTAAGCAATAATTTCTACTGGAAGTTTGTTTTGAAAAGGAATGATAAAAGGGTAATATTTTTGCTGATTATCGATAATCGATAATCGGTCTGACCGAGTTGACTTTATCACTAATCTTTCAGGTTACAGCAGAGTAATTTCATCACTTCGAATAATTTCACCTTACTTTCCATTACTGGTATGTGTTTGTCCATACGACGCATTGATTATTGTGGGAATATTACTTGCATTAATACAAATAATGCACACATATATGAACACATTCAGTACACAATTTGCACAGTACAGATTTAATAACTAGCTACATTATACCACACACATTGTCATCTACTAGTAATTGATTAACAGTTGAGGGAAGCACAATTCCGGTTTCATTGACAGCTGACAGGAAGTGACGTTTATCGTATTTGGAGGAGATGCATGCATGGTCGGTATGTCAATGTCAGTGATCTGGTCCAATTGCTGTTTCCGATACGACAGCGTTTTTGTAATATTCTCGTTCAATATGAAAGCGCGATTATTTGATAAAACCCGTCGTAAGTGGCAACAATCGGATTTAAATTGCCGAGTCAACGCATGTTGTGTTATCCGACATAGCCCATTCAGGATATGTATACAAATCGTCAAACAACAAGTTGCCCCAGGAGTTGACCCATAAATTAATCCATATAATGCCATACATACTCAGAAAGAAACCAGTTACTGCCTGAAATAAAAACAAAAGTCAATAAATCAAAGCAATGTACACACATGTTACTACAGAGAGCGCTTCTCGTTTGCATTTTACCTCGATGATGGAACATCCAATCATACATTTCATGGAATCCATGATGATTGAAATAGAACTATTTCCGAGTTCTCCATTGAAATATTAAGTGAATGTCTTACCATATCCGGTATAGTCAGTAATCCATTAGAAAACACCATTGCATTTGGAACGCATGCCGCAGGTAACATGAATGCATACGATATCAATATTGTACACGGCACTGTTAGATATAGTGGGTTAATACACGTTGTCTCAGCCTGGTGGGAGAAGCAAATATTTCACAAAATTTATAATGTGATCTATTTCTTTTTTCTATAAGCCTTGTATTTATTAGTTGACGTATAACCACAACTAATAAAATGATGTAACAATACAGTACTCTATACTGTTAATGCGGCTTATCATATTGTATTTTGTATAACATATATTCTGATATCATAATGTCACACATCGATACACAAGATAGTGTGGTCCTACTCACCAACGATATCAAAATAGGTGCAAGAATGGTGGTAACAGCAGTGCTACACGTAATCTCCGTGAAGTAACAAGCCACAGCTCCACATATAAGTACAATTACCCAATCTGAAAGTCCATCGAGTGCCGTCAGCAAGTCGCCAATCCACTGTGATAGTCCGGACACCTAACATGGTTGAATGAACATTTTGTTAACGAGAAGGCGAGGATCACTAAAGCAAATGCACAGACATAATATCAAGTTTGGAATTGCACACGGTGTGGGGAACTTTTAATGTTCTGATACAGGTTTTCGTCCATTCCCAGTGACACTGAAGAAACTCACGGCTCTCGATAAACACAAACTCTGTTTTATTTCAACGGAACGGTTTACAAACACTTGTTACATCAGCGACATCTTGAAAATTCTAGAAAAGCCTACCAACGAGGCTCGAACAGTATCATGGGTAATGGAAGAGTATGGAGAATTTATCTTACAAATTAGAGTGAAATCATCGCGAATGACAATAACTGTAGAATAGCTGGTGCATACATTTTGTAATAAACGATTTCCCGATATCAGAGTGTATACACAAATAAATAACAAATCTTGTACAATGAGATATATCCTGAATGTTTGTTGTTCGATAATAATAATTCAGTCACGATGTTCTTAACAACTCTCATAATGCGCTCTGGATACCCAAAAGTTCTAACTAACAATGATTTCTTATATTTCAACTTCGCTAATGTTCATAACAAGAATTGAAACTCTAATATAATAACTAGAATTTTGGAACGAATGTCAACATAAAAATCGATAAATAAGAAGTTTGTTCTCGGCTCCTGGTGAACGTGACCCCACGTCATCAGTGTTACTAAAATAGCCACTTAAATTAGCAGCACTACATAGCAGTTTTTCCACAATGGTTCACATGGAAATGTCATGAATTTGTTTTCGCGTATCTGTTGACCGACTTAATTAACTGATTATTAGCGAATTGCTGTGTTATGTCTGTCATCGTGTAGGCCTATTTGAAGTTTTGGACGGAACTTGGCTCAGTGGTTTGGAACTAATTACAAGATACCGTCGCTATTCTGACATCCATAGTTATTAATGTAGTGAACGATTAATCAAAAATATGACGTATTCAGTACTTAGTGTGATTGGCTTTATGATTGAAGGTTACGCCCTAGAGTCTTTTTACTGCATTGTAATTGGTCAGAGTTTTGAAAATGAATAAAGAGAGTTTGAGTTGGTCTTGGCGAATACTCCACGACAGACGCAGTAGAGAGAGAAGGCAGTCCTGGAGAGTCGAGTCCAGTCCGAGAGAGTCCAGGGGCGACGGAGCCTTGAGGCAGTCCAGTCTTGGGCGAGTCTTGGTTCAGCCTTGCGAGAGTCTTGGGGATCTTTTCCCCAGGGCGCTGTGTCTGATAGAGTGTTCGATTGACCGACTAAGACGAGAGCTGAAACGTATTTCGTTGTGTGTGCCTTATTTGACTGTAAAGTTAAAGTGACTTTCCCGATCCCGTACCTCAAGGGGACGAGATAGAGAGACGAGACGAGATTCCCCCCGACAGAGTGGAGAACCCCGGGGAGAAGATTTCCCCCCTGATAGAAATATCAATTTAATAAATGGCATTATGTTTAGAGGCATGTTAGATACATAAGACTTGAGGTTTACACATAATATTTCAATGTTTTCTATAGCGTGAACATCCATTATGGTATTAATTTCACGCATATGAGAAAATATTGAATGAAAAAATTTCGATAAATACTTTAAATTTTATTTTTTAAATACTCATTAAATTGAAAGTCTCGGTCATCGTAAAATAATCTAATGAATAATATCTTCCAAAAGAAGTGAAATCAGTAACCCATCTGTACGAATACTGTTACTATTTATGAATAACAATGAGAGTATGAAACATATAATTATTGAATTAAAATCATTCCTACCTCCATTCCTTCTGCAAGTGCAAAACCGCCACCCATTAATAAGAATAGACTCCATGGCATTTTCTTATTTACGATCTGCCAGTTTAAAAGACTTGTTCTTGGCTTGGAAGGAGGAGAGTCTGAAAAATATATTAGTTGTAATATATATGAGAGAGTATTGTTTTTATTTTTCATCAAACTTTGACGATGTTATCGATTATTGACATACATACCTTCTTTAGTTCGAAAAAAGTAAAAATTTGGAAAGTCTGACGGATAACAAAACAGGATTATGGATATGACAATTGCAGGGGTGGCATCAGTGACGTATCTGTAACGAACAAGTGAAAGAATCTAGTATATTTAGATGTAGATTACTTTTATTCAACTATATGTAGAAATACTTACTACAAATAATAATATATATACTTGTGTGCCATTATGTGTTAACTCACTCTTCTGGGAATAACATGCACCATCCGTATCCACCAATGTCTCTTGATATCCATAGTAGACACAGAGTTACAAACATCGTCAATACACTTAGTTCAGCCCAACTATAGATGACAAACAAGATAAATTTAGTAATGAGTTTTATCATACGGCCAATATTTATGGTTAGTTAGCACTATTGTAAATTAAACGTGAGACAGAGATAACAAGGAGTGGAAGCTACAATAATTTATAGAGCAGAAGCTAACTCTTGTCATTTTTCACAACACATTTACATACCATTTTTCAAAAATGTTGAATTATGTTCATACAGACACACGTGCAAAATACTTCACTAACACTTTGACAGAATAACTATGTTACAGAAATATGTAATGCCTCTTAGCGAGTGAATAGTCCTCTCAAATTCAATTTTCCATATTGAACTAAAGACTTCACTGAAGAAGATTTCAAAATTATATCTGCCTCTTGTAGCTTAATTATATAAAAGGGCCATTAATGTTATCAGTATTCGTGCTTCGTGCTTTTGGCAACAATAAGTCAGTGTGTTTGTATTTCTTACCTCCAGGTTCCCAGTTTTTTGTATTCATTCTTCAACACACTTTTGATAATGGTTTCCTCTTCGCTCGTTTTACAACTACACGCACAAGATGTGCATCCACCCCCTCTACAAAGACTACACATGGTAATTCATTAATTAGTTCAAAATTGATCGTTGAGTTGGGATAGATGTTCTATTATAAATAGCAATAATTATGAATGAAATAGACAGGTGGTATTGAAGGTTAGGCAGTCATATTGTGTGATGAAATTAGATTACAATGTTCTTGTTATTCAATTGTTCAAATATTCTGACATTACGCATGATAGATATTCTAACCAATTGCGATACACAGAGAGCGTTCATACCCACTGAGTTCATATGAGACTTACTTTGATCTCAGGAAAACTGCAAGCAGCCACAACCATGCAAGGAATATAAATACAAGAGCAGAAGGAAAACTGAAGACGAACCAATTTATAAAATTTAGAGGATGGTCAGGGTAACGACTGAAAGTAAAAAAAACGTTTATTTAATTTAATTTATATTAAAAATAAACAGGTAATTAAAGCTGCAAGTAACAGCAGAGTTAAAGCGGAAGGGGTTTATTGTATGACCTGATAATGCAGTGACATTTATTTGCTATTGCATGCAGTCATTGTATAGTTAATAAATTTATGCTTTATATTTTGGTCATTTCTACCGAAAAATCAAAATGGCGACGAAACCATGAATGACCATATGACTTATCAAACATAATTAATATTTCTCGTATGTAGCATTGGCCAAACAAACTATATGCAAAATGTCCGTTGAAGTACTCATAAGAAACAAATGCTCAACAATTGGGTAATTTTTGTTGAGAAACCAAGATGGCGAACAAATCACGTGACTTAGGCACAATATTTTATTTATTTTTCATAAGAAACATGTGCCATACATGCATTCTACACACAAAATATCAAGTTGATTGATAAAAATAATTATAAGAAACTTATTCACCACTCATGAGAAATAATGTCCAAACTTTTGGTCATTTTTGTCAAAAATTGCTGACTCAAATAATTTGTTTGACGTAAAAAAACATGACAGAAAAAGTCACGTGACCGCTAAAGTTTGTATTTCTTATATCTATTCCACATAACCTGTAGTATAAGCCACAACACATTCAGATCACCTAGACCCATAAAAACAAAAACAGTCATAACAATAGCGGTCCCAGCCATGCTGGCTTGGAATGTAACATAAGCATTTTTAGTCAAACCAATCTTAAAAGCTTCCAGTTGCATTAAAGGCAACAAGCAAGTTGTTAACATTTTCTAGGTGGTTGGTAAATGTAAACACAATTATTAAATTGTAGATATACTATATCTACCTACTGTTATTATTTATATTATCATATTCCAATTTACGTAAATCCAATATGGCTGCCGAATCACTTGACTGATAAAAATTCGCAAATTTCGGTGCATCAGATAAAATCGGGGTCAATAAGCACGGCTTGAGGAAACAACGGCAATGAGAAACGTGTTTTTACGCAAAACCAACATGGCGGCAAAACCATGTGACTGATTATTTTATTTTGAAGCCTTGGCCACCTATACTAAATGCCCTATATGCATAATTTCAAGTATATTGGTTGAAGCACGCATGAAGAACAAATAGCTCAAAATTGTTGCCATTTTTGACGGAAGTCCAAGTGAACGTCCAAATCACGTGACCCGTCTAAATAGCTTTGTTTTTTTTCCTAAGAGGCTTTGACCACATATACTACATACATAATTTCAAATCATTTTGCTCGTGAAGAACAAATGCTCAAAATGTTGTTTTTGATGGAAACCACAATGGCGGCCAAATTACGTGACTGATCCGATGCAACATGGCAAATTTTAAATCGACTACTTCCTGAAATCTAAGATCAATATGTTGCGTGATTCTAAAGAGGAGGAATTTTATACGTGGGTTGCTGTTTTTATCCTCTCAATGTGGAGAGGAAGGTCACGTGGCCAATAAAGTTTGTTATTAGTGGAATAGGTCACTTCCGGTTTAACTTCATTGCATTTCATTGCATATCTTCAAATCGAGGCCTACAAGTTGACAAAGTTTCACAATTGTCTGAGACTAATCGTTTCTGAGATCTGTTAGACGAAATAATCGTTACAGAAGAAGAAGAAGACGTAAAGACACAACAATAACAATAGATTTGCTTGTAACCCCAAAAAGATAGGATCAATAAATATGATTTGCTCCATAAACATCGAATATTTTCACTTACTCGTCTAGTTGGCCCACCAATACAAGGTTACCAGGCGTTCCTATGAGTGTACATGTTCCGCCGATACTTGACGAATAACATATTGCCAACATAAGAGCTTTACCCATTGATATGTACTCTTCTGAAACTGGGGTGTCGTCCGCATTATCCGTCTCTTTGACTTCATTTCTGCTGAAAATGACGTTATTAAAATTAATTAATGATACAGGGATGCTAATTATCAGTCGTTTATCATTTAGTAATGAGCATTACAAAATCTGATATTGATTATTAAAAATCTTGTTTTGAAGATTTTTGTACATATATACTATGAATAACAGTGTCGAAATACCCTGGCGTTTTATACAAATTGCTAAAATAAAGTTTGTCACGGGGCAGAAGAAGCCGACTTGACAACATCCGACCGAGTTCTACTAACATGAGTGTAATCTTGACGTTTGACAACAGCATATCATTGAGACTATTTAGTAATTGTATTTATAGTCATTCTGTAGTAAGCAATAAATGTTCCATGAGTGTATGTAAAAAAACAAAAAAACAACAAAAACAGTGTGATATGTTTCCACAAGAAACAAATGCCGCTTTGTTGGAAAACGAATTAAATTAGCATAATTTCCGATTCAAGTTGTCGTATTTTTTTTACAGCTTTTAGGAAACCATAATAAATAGTAGCAGTGGGGAATTAATTTTCGATTTCAAATTGTTTCTGGGGAGACAATGCGACTAGAACTGTATTTTTGGTATACCGATGTTTAATAATAATTTTAAAAATCCTAATTATAAACAGCTTGAGGTCCTACGATTTTAAAATATATCTTCTGCCGGGTCTTTGTGTGACCATTTTGCCACAATAGTTTGAAAACAAGTATGCAAATAAGAATATCTTGATTACTTAGCAATTACCAAGTTTTAAAATATACGATATCAATGACGTACTTTCCCATCACTGTGACTTCTGTGTGTACTTTATCGTTTAGTGTTGTATTCATAGTTCCATAGTCTACGACATAGGTTACAGCTCCATTTTCACATGGTATGTCTATATCAATATGATTGGATTTGACCTGTCGCCCATTTTGCTAAATAAATACAATGTGAAATGAGATAAGGTTAATAACGTTATACATAATTTTATTTTAAAATTAAAGCGGGGGGGGGGGGGGTCATCACATGCGCACGCGCGGGAATTGAGTCACAAGCGATGATAACAACACACGATAAGAACGCAAAGGCTCATGGGTAGACGCTTGTTTGTAAACAATGACACGCTATGTCCATCTGATGCATGCGCGGGTGACGACCCACTTGTTTTAAGGAATTGACTTAGTAAATGCATTGAATGGTAACTGTATATGTCAGTATTCCTGATGTATGGACCGGAGGTAAGATGTAAGACCTTGCAAATTTAGTATTATGGGACAAGGGTACTGCTCACGGTGCCTCGCCTGAACTTATGAGAAATGCGCACAGGTTATACTATGGCATTGACGCTGTCATTGAAACACGTGTAAAATGTAAATTAAGATATATACATCAAGTGTCTACTGAGCCCCCCCCCCCCGCATCATTCTGTGGTCTTACAGTTATGTCGTCTAATACGGATGTAACAAGACAGTATTTTAAAAACATTGTAAAATGACTGGAGCAAAAAAAAAACATCTCCAGTTCCATTCCCAACAACAACTTTTAGGGAAAATAAACACTTTTGCCAAATTTGATCACAATCTTAGGTCACTTGACGACGGGCTCAAGATCACATGACCTAAATAAATAACTCATACACTTCTTATGATCAAATTCAATGACTTAGATTGTGGTTGTTAATAATTAGTGACCTAATTCATGGTTACTAAAAAGACACAATTAGTCAATGTTCGATTGATCGATCACAAACACAAATCGCACAAATAAACTATCGATAACAATCCAATTAGTCCGATTACTTCAGATGAAATGGATCACTAAACGTATCACAATCGCCACGCACAAATACAATTCCAAAGACTGAAATTACACTTCCTACAAAATCATGAACAGGAGGAATTCAAAAATAACGATAATCAAGCAATTATTTAAACTCAATACTGGATAAATTAATATTGGTTTGATTAAGTCCCACTGTAACACGTCTGGTTAACGGTATCACAAAACAACTTGTATCACTTTCGACATATGTAATTCGCTGTAACACCAACGCTGTTCTATGGCATCTCGTTGTTTATTCCAATATTACGACGTTCTCACATCAAGCAAATGCTCAAATTTGAAGTATCATAGTGAGAAGTTGTCAACAGTTTTGTATACAGTACACGAACTCTCGGACTCTCCAATGCTTCCAATTACTTTGCCTATTTTGGTATCTATTCACACGTGGATACCCGTCGTCCAACATATTTTCACTTGCTCTGATATAGTCCAAATAAATATCTGAAATGTCGATAATCACTCAAATACTGACGCATCCACCTACTGTAGAGTATGGCACGCGCCTAATCCCACGTGTGTACAATAAGTAGCAAAGTCCAGCACACAATCAATTATTAACGATCAAAGTAACTGTGCATTGTATCTTCAACCAATTCTCTCGCTCGCTCGTCGTAGCGAACATAGAAGCTAATCGTTCAGTAGGCTGGATGTAACGTCACTAACGACCATTCGTGCTTGCAACAGTCAAGTTCACGGTGAATATCTGATAATCTTTGATAGTATTACCGGTGTATTAAAACACAATAAAAGTCTCCAATCTAATCACATGCTCTTCGGCTTATTTAACTACCTGTTTTCAGGAGGGGATTTTTTTTCTTTACTTTTTTAGATGGTTTCATCTTCTAGCGGCCGCTTCCCAGTAGATCAACCAGACAATCACCAACACACCTCGCCCGAATTCTATACTGTTGACGTGCACGTTTGTGTATGACTCGTCACAAGTCGATGTGCTGGTAGGCATAACATTAATGTTTGTCAGTTCAAAACTTTACAATTGTTAGAGAGATCTTCGTCACACTATATTTATCAAACCCTCAATGTAAACCTAATAAATATATCAAAGTCTAAATGCCCTATCGCTTTATCAAGACGGTAGTCAAAATTAAAACAAAACAGGCGGTGGAAGTGGAATGGACATGTGTTACGTATGGAAAAGAATGACATACTAAGAATCACTTTAACATGGACACCAGAGGGCGAAAGGAACGCGGGAAGACCGAAAGAGAATCCTCAGGGGCGGACATCCGGGCATTTTCACCGCCTGGCAACCCGCGGCGGTGAAAACAAAGGCCAAAAACTCGCTGAAAACGGTACTTTGGGATGATTGTTGAGACTCCTCTGAACAGTGTAACAAGATTAGAAATGCATAGAAATGCATGTACAGTGGTGCGCGTCTTAGCAACGTGGAACGTCTTGTGACGTAGCTCCGCCCCCGAGGATAGGGGATTTTCCGTTCACTGCAAGAATCACGCGTTATGCGTGAAATCGAACGTAAAAACAGGACAGACAAAGGTCATAGCGTCGTAGTCGCGTCAAACATCGCGTGGGATTCGACAAACGCGAAAGTATTTCGGGGACATTTCCATGCTTAATAATGTGCTGTCCACATTTGATGATAGGCAATTTCGATTAAAAGGGTATTCGGAAGCAATATTCCTCTGTCGAAGATCGGCCGGTCAATCATGGGATTAGAAGACTTGGGTAGAGGCAGAAGTAGCGGCTCAAAACAGAGAAGCATGGAGGAGGAAAGATGCTGGTTCTATTCTCCACCAGGGGTCAAATATCACAATGACAGCGCCAGAACATGTCATCGCTGCATAAAAGTAAGCTTTGCCAATTTGGAACACACCATAAATGAGGGGGCACTGATTACACAAGGGTTTGATGACGTTTTTGAATAAGGCATTCTTTGTCTGTTGTTTCATTCAGAACCATAGTTTAACATACATAACTCAAAAGCATAAGTATAGAAGGACAAAATCGCGCAAACTGGACAGCCATTGTTTACATAAGTACCACGTGACAACAAGAATGGCGAACCTGCCTTTAAAAACTATCATGTTTCAACAAAATGTTTCTTAAAATCTTTGGTTAACCCTTTGTCTGAAAAGTTATTGCTACTCCAGATTTTTTTCGCATAAAAAAGCGTAAATGGTTATACTTTAAACTTCAAGGAGTTGAGATCCACACAGGGCTCAACTACATTTCAAAATGGCTGCTCATTTTAATTTGCTGCAAAGCCCGGAGATAAAGGGTGCAGCTGCAACTTAATTATATTTAGTTATATATAGAAATATGTTAAATTTATATTTGTAATGATTGAGTATTATTGCTTACGCTCTTTTCCTTTTTTAGCTCAGATAATCGAATCAATACAGCCTGGGCGATGGGAAGCATCATTGACGTAGTCGCTGAGTTACTGATCCACATTGATAAAAACCATGTGACCAACATGAACCCCAATAATAACCTGAAATGAAATAATAAACGATAGCTTAGCATGAATTGCGGCCCTCTGCGGCGAGTACGTAGGGGACACTGTAGACTCGGTTCCAGTCTCTTGTCAATGCGCTAATGTGACTCGCTTGTGGCGAGAAACCGGGGAAACATCACCGTACTGTGTCAGTATTAAGAAAAACATAATATTAACAAAATAACACGTATATGTTAATAGATTCAGTCAATAACTGGTCATCGGTGTGTTACTTTAGACATTGCACTTACATTATAATCATTTAATTACACGTTTAGTGCCTGACAAACGTACGCACAAATTTACAACTACAACTGTAGACTGGCCACAGTCGGAGCGATTTTTTCAAACATAGGTGTAATTTTTAATTAAAAAAAAAAATATGTTCCCACTCGCCGCGAAATCACTTCGCGGTCACGCTAGTTTTCGAAATCACGCTAAAAAGGCCAATTTGACAATTATTATATTTTCTTTGTAAAACAAAAAAGAAATCCCGACTTTGCCAGTCTACTACAACTGGAGTGGACTGGAGAACGAACGAAACCTCCGTGTACCAGTATGTCTATACGTCTATACAGTCACAGACTCACAAGTCAATGACGCAATTTGAAAAGCTATGCAATGCGGTCTGTGGTCGTATATGCAATGCGGTCTGCGGTCGTAAAATTGTAGTTAAAGACAACTTGATATTTACCGAGTGAAATTCCGGTAAATATGGTCGTATCAAATGTTTATATCTAGATAAAACGTTACGTGCATTCGGATGTCTCACACAATTTCTTTATTTTTCGAAGTTTATAACTACAATCATGTCGAATGTTACACTGCCGAACAAGCCTCAGACAAAAGTACTGTTTTTTCACCAAGCGACAGCAATCTTTGTCTCGCCAATTGTATTGAGAACGTTGCTATATTGGCCTGTATAAGTCGAAATGGACCGACTGGCTGAGATTAACTCCAACATATTATCATGATATTTTACATGGTCCAGAATTGTCAACTATTATTTGCTCGATTGAAAAAGGACGCAAAAGACAGTCCTTGACCTTGTGAACATTATCCAGTTGCCGCCGGGGAACAGTTTTGGGTTTGTTTGGGTCCTTTGGGTAGTTTGTGGCTCTTTTTAGGGTTGTTTCATTCACATGGACCGCATAAACGCAGACACGGGAACACAAGAACGCATAACTGACTTCAGGGTGCCTAATTCATGCTGTTTGAATTCATTCTAAATTTAACCCACCAGATAAAGTAATTTAAACATTAGTAATACTATATATTAAGCAATTAATGACATAATGTAATCAAATCTGAAGCTGACGTAGTAATTAAAACCATAAATGAATGAATTGAGGATAGTACTTGTTCTCATCTCACCATCTGGGTTTTGTACCCGAAACCATCAACACGCCTAACGCTATTCGTCGATGAAGATTCCAGTGTTCAATGGCAATAGCCATCATTATACCTCCAAGTAACAGAGCGCTGGTGTCCTTGAAATACTTTGCAGCCGTGGCGCCACCATCCAGGATACCAAACAAGGGGAATAGGGCTAGTGGTAACAGAGAAGTAACGGCCATGGGCATGCATTCAAAAACCCAATAAAGTGCCATTACTAATAAGACATAGCCACAATAGGATTCCTGTATGGAAGCAAAACAATGACATTTAATTAAAATTGAAATTGAAATTGAGAGCCGTCAAGGGGTATTTTCGTAAGTTGTAATCAATTGTTTTGTATTTTCGTAATAATGTATTTTAATTAAAAATAAGAAAACGTAATTTCGTAGACATGGGCACAGACCCTCCACACCATAAACTATATGATAGTTTAAGCTGTAATGTACATATACGAGGGTCGATACAATCGGATACGCTCAGCATAACGGCGACAATAGTAGGTATCGCCAGCTTGAAAACAGAAATTCTGCCGAGCACATGTACCGAGTAACGTGACATATTGCTATTTAATATGATTAGAATGGGTCATATGACAACATAAAATCGGTTTGGTTATCTAAAAGCTACAATAATTCCATCTTTTTAGTTTTAGTTTTAGTTGTTCCGATTTCTCACGGAATAACATTTTTTTGTTAGCGACACCAAACAACCATCTTGATTCATACACAACACCTACGGCAAAATCAAATGCAAAATGAATGACTGAAATGAACACCTTCCCGGCACTTATGCACAAAGTAAAACATATTACCCAAAAATTAAAGTATCAAATCACAAATTAATAACGATTGTTTTGGGGGTGGTAACGCGATTTACCAGGGTTGAAACTTCCGTGGTATTATTGCCGTAACGCATACATAAACGTGGCAGCTACAATTTGAAATCAAAATCTTTTTTTGTTGTTGTTAATAATGAATATGGATTTTAAACTACACGTGTCTTTTCACGAAACCTTAGAACAATAGCCTTTCCCAACCGGGTGTTGGGGGACTGTGACATAGGCAAGGTTTAAAATGTAATCAGCTATTTTATTCGTCCGTAATTTGCACAAAGATCTTATTTTTTGAGCGTATAAAATCATTTTCCAAATTGAATGTCGTAATTTGTACGCAATTTCCAACTTCAATACAAATTTGTTCTTCAATACAAATTATCAAATCTATTATAAAAATGTAACTAGGAATTTTGTAACCTGTACCAGGCGATACGATATTGCATGCACACATATGCACTCAAACTACTCGTAGAACTCGATTTTATGTCAGATTGATCTAGTTGTGTTGACGTTCAAGGAGAGTATGCCAGATTGACCTAGATATGATGACAAGTCACGGAGAGCAGCCGGAATTGCATGGATTTTATTTACACAGTACATAAAATAACATGTTTGATACTATATCGATATAACACATTGCAATCATTAAGGGTTCATGTTTTTGAATAATATAAAATATTACGGTATATATTAACGTAATCTACTCACCGATGTAGGAATCGCAATAATCAATGGAAGGCATATTAATGGGATAAAAAGAATTACAAAAATGTTTTTAAATGACCACAATTCCCATAACGTCTGTTTACAATTATACCCCATCTTAGCTCAACTTGAAGTATCTCGTTAATTGGAAGATTACAATTTCCCAGCTGAGAGGTCCATGTGACGGTGCACGTAGGTAACTCTTTGCTGACAACTCCGTGGGTTGTGTACGTGGAATGGTACCTGATGCACAGTAAATAAAGTCAGTCTTAGGTCATGGCTGTCATTTTCATAATGATGGGGGGGTTCAAATGAGGGCACATATCGACCGATCCGAGGTGTTTTGTTGACACTGATTTAAAATTGGGCTAGATAATACAGACAACCCACGAGCGGGTGGCGTGATCATCACGTGGTTATCACCTGATCTGACTATGAACACCCCCCCCCCCCCCGAACACGCCAGAAGAACGACTAGTATGTGTGTACAAGACTACAGGTTGCTTGCCCAATGGACGTTTCGCTGTGTTCATGTTTGGTTAACAAAATTACGAAGTATAAAATAAACTGTTTTGATGACCAGTCAAATTTATTTTTTCTCTGAACTGAAAAATAAAATATCTGTCACTTGCTACTTGAAACCACAGTCCCTCCATCAGATAATGACGTCATACGAATAATTACTCACGTGTTTATTCTGTTGACCAATTTTGATTGGTAAATGTTAATGAACTACGCCTCCACGAATTAGTATGAATTATACAAGTCGACCCGATTTATCACACATTTGCTTTTGCGAGGTTTATTCGTGTATTTTCGTGCTAGTGGCACGTTGGTGCATTTGAATTCACCTCAATCGACATAATAGCAAAGAAATACAGACGCCGATTAGTGTCATGTGCTGGATTTACGTTTTGAGGATCGACAGAACTTCCGGGTTCACGAGCTAGCCGGTGCACATGGCAACAAAATTGTTGGCGTCGTTTTCGTATTTCTGCCAAATATTTTTTTCTTGCATCTCTGTTGAATGCAAAATACCCGCAATATTTTTCATTGCGCTTTATGTCCGTAGCGCAAAATAATATTTGTTGCCGATTTCAGTTGACCACAGGCTTCACCCCAGCTGTGTGTTATTCACGTTTGGGGCTAGCTTGCAGGTTCGTAGCTCAAAAAAAAAAAAAAAATACGACTATTGTAAATACTTTATTTCCACTTGGAATATATTTTCGCTGAAAGGGACAACACAATCTAGTGAATATACCCTTTTTCTTACATTTTACATCGAACTCGTCAAAAATCAGTGAAAATAAATTCCATACAAAACACCCAAAAAGCCTTTTTAACGAAATTAATTCCAGCTAGAATAAAGTATATTACAGTATCATTCACAAAAGGATAAATAACTTGAAGGACTTGATGACGAATGAAGAAGCTCTTTTTTTAACTGTGCCACTGAATAATAAGATGAACTGTCCGTCCATTGGTTGGTTTGCTGTCAATATATTGGATCACAGATTCAGCCAATGTGAACAGATTGAAGCGGAAGGGTCGTCACCTGCGCACGCGCGGGAATTGAGTACCAAGCGACGATAACAACACACTCTAAAAACGCAAAGGCTCATGGGTAGACGCTTGTTTATAAACAATGACACGCAATGGCCATTTGACGCATGCGCAGGTGACGACTCCCCCACTTTAATATTGATACTATTCCCTTACAGAAATCATTGGTTACACATGCTGCAAGTACATTCTTTAAAAAGGATTTGTTTGTGTTGGCCTACTTCAATGTGAAGGCAATGGTCACTTAACGATACTATGCAAGTGCAACTAGGTAGCTCTCAAATTTAATATTGCATTTAAATTTTCTATATGTTCGGATTTTTGTCTTAGTAGAATACGTGCGATCGCCGTTGTTTATTTTTTGTAGCAACTTGTTTATAAACAGTTGTTCAATATTTTCATTAATTTGGTCGATCTTAGAAGCACTTATTTCTTGTTTTATTAGCTGATTTTGGCTGATAATTTCGAATATGGAAGACATCTTAGGTACCAGGCACGTTTTATATTCGTATTTACACTGAATGGTTCCTTGAAAGGAAAAGTCAAGCCAAACAACATAATACTCCCTAATGGAAGACCTCCACAAATATAGGAGAATGCAATTTACAGTTTATTATATCACCTTTCCTTCTCTAGATATTTAATTCAGTGTCAGTCACATGTCACAAAACACCTCCGACTGTTTAAATTGTATTCATGTTTCACCGCATTACATATTTATACTCTATGTTCTCAGCGTTCTGGCTGATTAACAAAATAAACTAGTAACCACGTACCAGGTACCTACGTCAGATATGTTGAGGGGTATCCAATGGATGCAAGGTTCGATTACTCGCAACTTTCAATATTTTGAGCACTTATAGTTCGACATTTTTCTGTATATTTCTTTTAGGTTTTTCACATTTTTTTAAACAACGAAATTACCTTGATCGTAGAATGTGTTTTAATTCCCATACTACTTCAGTTGATAATAAATGACTGAAATTATTTGAATGTGAAATTAAAAACAATTTCTTCAGTGTTTGTTTTTAGTGTTTTTTTTATTTCTCATGTGGGACACGCTATGACTAATTCTCCATATTAATGTGCGATTCATGAAGATTGCCAGCTTTTTACGCCATGACCTGGTTTCCAGCCACTCGTCCATGTGAATTCAATGAAGTGTGTAATGCCTGGAGTACATTTATAGACTTAATATTGTATTAGCGGTTTTCAATTTTCCATGACTACATACCCATTTTACTCTGTTAGACTAAGTGGGTATTTGACGATATTATTCCAGCGTGCCATGCCATGATCACGTTTGCGATCACTCGTCTATGATTACCGACTCGGCATACCGGTAACATTTTTAACCAAAGCTTTGAAAGGTTTGAGCGCTGTGTAGATATTCCTTATCAATGGGCTAAACCTGGGGTTTGTTCATACGTCACAGAAGTTTAGAATTTAACTCGACGTTCACACCTTTTCATATCCTTCACCCGTGTAAACAAAACAAATGACGTACCAAATCACCGTGTCACCCGTGTATCTGTTATTTCTGTTTACACTTTTGCATTCCAGACGGTTTCGACGTCATTTAAACGGACCATCTTTGTGTCTATCATCAATTTTTGGTTGCTTGGATTCAAAATTTGAGTTGGAAACTTATAATTTGAATATGAATAAAATAGTTTATTATTATTATTATTATTATTATTATTATTATTATTATTATTATTATTATTAGGCAATGTTCCATGTGCCGCCAGAATTTGTGTAGGTACGTTTTCGAGAGTATAGCCTCTGATTTGTATTCATAGTTTTGAATCTAAGTACCAACTACCTGCTGAGTAACTGCAACTTCTAACACAGCAAAATTTCCATATATGTTCCGCTTTTTCATGAATCCATTGTGTTTTCGCTTTGATTTTGTTTAAGCAGAACACCTTATTGTTGTCCATTGTCTCTTAGATACATTCTTTGACATGAGCTCAATCCGTGAAACTAACATTCTGCAGACATGAACGGGTAATTCAAATTGTCATGTTCTTTGTTTCACGATTTGTATCAGCCATCGCCAGAAACTATCGTTCAACTTCATCCAATAATATCATTTATTAAAATGACATTTTAAAAATTTAAATTGAAGTAAAAATATCACCAGAGCACCGGGCATGTAAACTTTAATTTATACAAGCCTGACTGGAAGGTAACTTATCTCGGTTACTCATCATCAGACAAGGAGCAACTTGAATGAGTGAGTTCAATATTGGGGGGTTGACTCTATTTTGTGGTATAGTGCCCTCTAGTGTTCTAATTATGTTCTAATTAGATTGCCAGTTGTTGCAGGAAGTATGTTGGCACATTTAAGAAACACTTGGAAAAGTACAGCCACCACAAATCATTTCAAACGTTTCACCTCTTATTGTATACACCGCAACGTAAGGAGTAGTGCTTATAGTGACGAATTGTGTTCATTAAGGGACTGGGCAGAAAGTACAGGGGATAGGCCGGTGTTTTTTGAAAGTCGCGTTCGTAAATATATATGACCCTTCACAAACATTTGCATGACATTTACTAACCTCCCCATTATTAAATATGTTTATTCGATACATTTTGCTCTACTTATTCGTGTTGTATGCGCGGTGTGGTGCGAAAGTCGTCCGTGACAGTAGATGTACATTGTTTTCTCCACTTGCGAACGAGAGAGATTGTTGTGTGAACGTTAACATGAGTTCGAGCACTAGAAGCACATTCCAAACACATTGACATTGTATGCGATTAAGATGCCTTATGCATTGGGTTTGGAAAACTCTATTTGTTTTTGAGACACACAATTTGTTGGTAGCAACGTTTGGAAACATGAGGCAAATACTGTAAGACAAAGTGCAGTTACGTGTACTGGTAAGCATCTATTGGTGTTGATCAAAGCATTGAAACTAATAAAAGAGTGAAAAAATGCTACACATAATAGCTATGATAACACACATAATTTAACCAAACGCATGCCTAAACGTGCCTAAAGTTGCGAATCTAATACACATATAAAACTAGTCTGTACGAACAGCTGTACTCTATGATAGAACGAGAGTGATATAAGACACGAGCTAGTTCTGCACCTCTTACACCATTGGCAACGGTTTCCTCTGCTAGGCTGCAGCCAATGTTTTGCCTCGTGTTTCTGGACCTGGTTTTTGGAACACCTGCTGCTGACAGTGTTTGAGGTTTGCGTGTTTTTATTAACCAATACAATGCCTATAGCAATGAACCAGAAACCCACAACAGTAAAGCACTTAAAAATTATATATATATTCATAACTTGTACATATATATATATGTACATTCATTTATTGGCATCTCGTTCGTTTCATTTATTGGCATCTCGTTCGTGGGTGTGTCTTTAGTAACCATTGACATATTCATGACAACATGATATAAAATCAATTGGCTTTTAATATTTTCTGCTAATTATCGATACATGCCATTTGGACCGAGTTTTCAAACTCACCAGTCTTCTAGTTTACAGCAATGTAGGTTCTTAATGTACACAAAGCTGCAACCAATATTCTGTGATCTTTTACTAACACTTTCCCACGTTGATTGGGATTGTTCGAAAAAATAAAACGAATAATAAGAGGATCCAATCACCTTTTGCTATTAAATAGTTTCACCATTTTTTATTGCCTATATGTAACGACGCATTGAATATTTAAGAAATATTATTTATTACAATATTTATAATGAATCATAAATGGCAAACATATAAATATAAAATATTGAATATAATCAGTACAAATGAACAATATCCGCAATTATAATCATCTACATTATACCACATATGTTGTCCTCTAATTGATTAACAGTTCAGGGAAGCTGAAGAAAGTGACGTTTATCAAACTTAAGGAGGTGCACTCTGTATGATATGGTCGTGGTACACCCTATTAATGTCAGTGATCTGATCCGATTGCCGTTTCCGATATGACAGCGTGTTTATATTTTTCCCGTTCAATCAGATAACACGTGTCATAAGTGGCAAACAATCGGTTTTAAATTGCCGAGTCGACGCATGTTGTGTTATCCAACATCGCCCATTCAGGATATGTGTCAATATCTTCAAACAAGTTACCCCAAGAGTTGACCCAAAAAGTAATCCATATGATGCCAAACACACTCAAAAAGAAACCAGTCAATGCCTGAAATAAAAACAAAAATCAATTACTGAGAGCAATGGGTAAATAGAGGGCGCTTCTAATATGGTTTGTGGCAAAATCTTAAATTGAAAACGAAAGCATAAGGAGATTATTGCAACCGTTACGCTGACAATCCAATTTAAGTAATAAAAGATGTCAACTGTGTTCTTATGTCTAAAAACATGACAATAGTCAATATTCTTAATATAATAATTTGTCTGTGCCAGATGCGAGGTAAAATGTCAGTTATGTCATAATACTTGCCGAAATGTGCTAGAACATAAATTTCAATGTCTGGGACTGACAAAAATCCCGTAGCTAATTAATTAACCAATCGTAAGTCAAAAAACATCAAGTTATTCAATAGCGGGTTAATTGTGATTCGCACATAACAAGATTGTGACCGTGCGTTATGTGTACATAAATCGAGTCAGTTATTGATCGTTGCTTACTACAATAGCTTTCCTGATTTTTTTTATACAACATGTGTATAGTGTATGTAGGCTGGGGTGAGTTGAGTCGCTGTTCAGATCCCGCCGGATCTGGACAAATTAGATTACTACATTTGACCGTAACCACTTGTTAGCCATGTGCCGTGCACAACTTTGTGTTAAGTCGATCTCTAGTAGGTAAATTGCGATCGCCGTGTCGCTGTTACGTTAATACTCGCATTACCGCTGTACACTTACCGTACTCGTTCCCATGGCCCTAGCTGTGGAATCATAGCCCTATGTTGCCGACCGCATTATTTACGTGACTGACTCTGGCCGGCCCATATGTTCGACGTACAACAACAAAATTAAAAAGAAGACGTCCAAATGAAATTGTTAGGGCGAAATTCGATTGTAGGTCGCACCAAAGAGCTACGGAACCGCAGCTACCATGGCCCATGCTCGATCGACTAAGCGACCATCCCTCCCACATTTGCCTTTCTAGTCATAAAAAATGACTTTTCCGAGTAGCGGTAATCAAAATTTCTGCACTCACTATTTGAATATTAAATTGTATGTCTTACCATATCCGGTATAGTCAGTAATCCATTAGAAAACACCATTGCATTTGGAGCGGTTGCCACAGGCAACATGAATGCATACGACACCAATATTGTGCACGGCACTGTAATATATAGTGGGTTAATACACGTTGTCTCGGCCTGGTGGGAGAAGCAAACATGCCACAATATGTTTAGAACGGTGACCATTGCACACATGGTAGTAATGTAATACTTGCTTACTTTTCCGTTGCGCCACGCTCTCTAGAAACAAAGTCTGTGACGTAAATACGCAAGTGATGAAAGCAGATTCATTTGATGTGTAGTTGTGTACATCATTAAAATTCTAGCAAATCAAACCTCTAAATACTGTATTTTGGGCAGGCAACTACGTGAAATTATGTTTAACTTCCAACTATATGTGACATTTTATACTTTAGGTAAAACAAGCCAATTCTATACATATCTATGCCATATATATAACAAATTCAAATTTCTAATTAATCGTCTACAAATAAAAAAAATATTACATGTATTATTGTACACATATAGTTACCCGTTGGTTCACAAACCATTGTGATGACACTTACCAATGATATCAAGATAGGTATAAGAATGGTGGCCACAGCAGTGTTACTCGTGATCTCTGTGAAAAAACAGGCCACAGCTCCACATATAAGGACAATTACCCAATCTGAAAGTCCATCGAGTGCCGTCAGCAAGTCGCCAATCCACTGTGATAGTCCGGACATCTACATAGATGAATGAACATTTTGTTAACGAGATAAATATTTTTTCTTCTGTGAATGAAAAGCTGATGCTGGCTGATTTGAATAATTGTTTCTAAATGAGTTTCTTTTGGTGTACGGCACACATGGACGATGAGCGGCTACAAGGAAGCAGGGTCGTCACACGGTGACTGTTTTTGAAAGAAGATATCACTTGACCAAACGCACATACACAAAAGTTTGGAATTGCACATGTCTCCTATGGTTTATATTAGTGATAAAAAAATAATATATGGCATCGTGGTTGATTTATAAAACTTGAGTATTACACATAATAATGTCACCTAATTAAGAAATATCGAATCAAAATATTTCGATAATACAGTCTTTCAATTATTAAACTGTGTGAAGATCAGTAAATATTTTACTTCACAGAGAGTGAAATCGGAAATGCATCTTTACGAACAATTTGAAAGAGTTGAAACAATACATCATTCTTACTTCCATTCCTTCTGCAAGTGCAAAACCGCCACCCAATAACAAAAAGAGACTCCATGGCATCTTCTTATTTACGACCTGCCAGTTTAAAAGACTTGTTCTTGGTTTTGAAGGAGGGGAATCTGAAACAATAAGCGTGAGTTACAATTAGTATATATATGAGAGAGTATTGTTTTTTTCTTTATACATTTATTAGTCGATTATTGGCATACTTACCTTCTTTGGTTCGTAAGAAGTAAAAATTTGGGAACTCTGACGGAAAACAAAATAGAACTATGGACATGAAGATTGCAGGAGTGGCATCCGTGATGTAGCTGTAAGTTAAGAGATGAATTGTGAACCTTACGTTTTTGACATGCAGATTATGTTATGAATTATTATATAAATAGATATATATATGTATATTTAAATACATCTTAATAAACCGTTATATACACTTGTTTGCAATTGTGTGTAACTTACTCTTCTGGGAATAACATGCACCATCCGTATCCACCAATGTCTCTGGATATCCAAAATAGACACAGAGCAACAAACATCGTCAATACACTCAGTTCAGCCCAACTATAAATGATAGTAAAACAAACAAACAAATCAGTAATGAAAGTTCCTAGTATACGGTATTCATCTTTCCCTAAAACACTATCAAAGTTAGTTTGCTGAAGATTAAACGTTAGATAGAGATAAAAAGAAGCGGAAGACTATCACACTAGTTTGTCAACTTTATACCTACATACTTTCATTTTTGTTTGTTTGTTTGTTTGTTTGTTTGTTTGTTTGTAAGATGTTAATCAAGACATGTTGACAATATGAATTATGTTGATATCTAAGAATGTACAAATTGCACCAACACAATAATTAATAACCCTGTAGGCTCTTGTTCTATTAATTTAAATAGTGTTTTTGTTAATTAATTTGAAAGTCAACACTACACCATGGAATATTTCCAAATTATCTACTCCTACCTACCTAAACCTACTGGTATAACCTAATTACATAACACGGTCAGTGATGCCACAGTTATTTATGCATTGTCTTATGTTGTGCTACGCTGATGCAATTTGTATTTCTTACCTCCAGGCACCAAGTTTTTCGTATTCATTCTTCAACACATTTTTGATAATGGTTTCCTCTTCGCTAGTTTCACAGCTACATGAACAAGACCTACATCCACTCTCTCTACAAGGACTACAAAAGTTAATTAATTAATTAATTAATTATTAATTAATTAATTAATGAGATGTCTGTACATTCTGCTCACTATTAAATTATTAAATTGTAGTATTCCGACATTACTTAAGTTCACATGAGCCTTACTTTAATTCCAGAAAGGTTGCAAGCAGCCATAGCCATGCAAGGAATATAAATACAAGAGAAGAAGGAAAACTAAAGACGAACCAGGATAGAAAATTTAAAGGATGGTCAGGATACCGACTGAAAGAAAAGAAAAGACATTTCCGATTTATAACAACTATAACCAATTATAATCAGAGTTGTATAAGTGAACGTACGACCATCTGTCACTAAATACTAATCGTTCTATATAATTCTGCCACTTTTACTTACTCGTCAAGTTGACCCAATAATATAAGGTTTGGTGGTGTTCCTATCAGTGTGCATGTTCCGCCGATACTTGATGAATAACATATTGCCAACATAAGAGCTTTACCCATTAATTTGTACTCTTCTGAAATTGAGAAGTCGTCCGCATTATCCGTCTCTTTGACTTCATTTCTGCTGAAAAATAAAAAATAATACAAGGATGATAATTCTAAGTTATGGAAATCCTGTGTGTCAATTTTAGTTTAAATATTTATAAAGAATATAATAAATGTAATTTACAAAAATCTGAAACTTATATTGGATATGAGCGGGGTTGCTTTCATTAAAAATCATGTTTGTTGAAAATGAAGTTTCTATGACAAAAGACGAGATAGACACTTTGAAAAACCCGACTAATATCAAAAAACAAGTATGAGATGCGTACATGTGTTTTTACTAATATAAGAATATAAAATCTTGATTATTTGGTGAAAAAATATGTATTAAGTTATTATGGAATTCATTTATTAGCATATCAATATCCTTCTACTGAAACCCCATGAATAATCATTTGATTGTATAGCTAGCTTTCAATTGCTACATGCTTACGTGTACCTCCATACGCTGTGTTGAAAAACGGATCTGAATATTGTTTGTATGCCCAATCTTTGTGTTACAGATTAGTTTTGTTGTTGAAAAAAATCGGTGCTAGAAAAAAATGTTAAGATGTATGTAATGTCATCAGATTAAGACAGATTCTGATACTACCTTTAAAAAGCTTACAATATGAATAACGGGAGTATGTCAGGGCAACCCATTTAAAAAATTCGTTTGTAATTTGCTCTTGTTTAAGTTTGAACAATGCGACATAAACTTTATTTTGAATTTTGGCACACCTACTACATACTGATTTAAATAATCAACCTTATGAAAAACTTGAAATTTTCGAATTAGTTGTTTATCGCATTGCTATAGTACACCACAACTTACTTTTCCGTCACTGTGACGTCTTTGTGTAAGCTATCATTGCCGGGTTTTGTATCCATAGTTCCGTTATCTACAACATAAGCAACCGCTCCATTATCTTCATCAGATAAGTCTATATCAATATGATGCGATTCGAGCTCTCGTAACTTTTCCTAAATAAATACAAAATAATATGTTCATTGCAATGGTCATAATTAAGTTTGTCAGCATTTATTCTTCTTTCTACTATGATAATGAATGCACAGATTCATGTATTTTCTCGAATATACATCACTGTATAATCAAAGCAAATTGTGCAATAGTTTAATTTTATGGTGAAAAGGCGAGTTCGTGTGCATGAAATATGTGCATGCAGAACTACTCAATTACAATTTCTTTCATACACCCTGAATCCGTTACCATATTTTGTATTGGTTCATAATTTGTTATACAAAATGCAAGGATTTTCTGTTTATATCGTGTTCTTAAATATATATGGCGCACATATTAATGTTGCCATACATTCATGTTAATGAGAGCCTACTGCAGAAAGGATATTCAATTCGAGAATATTCATTTGAATTACCAGACACATATAAATTAAAAATGCATATCTGTGGAAATTATATGTACACGCTGTTCATGCTAGTTCGATTATGGATTTTGACAAATAAAACTGCTTTATAATAGCTTTATCGCTTTATATTGTTTTTCAAAAAAGGAAAAGGAATTCACACAACAAAAGTAATATCGCCTAGTATAACTTTGCAAGTATGAAAACAATTTGTAAATATAATGTAAACAGTGTAATGATCATTTGTAAAAGATATTATTAAGTAATGCAATGATTTCTTTTCTGGAACTAGCATATCAGTAAATCAAATGAGAGTATTGCAAACTGCCAGGAGACTTTTGGAAAAACAATCAAACAAAGATGATGTCAAATATATAGTATAAGTAAAGGATGCTAACTTATATATCTGTGTTGTTATTGTACAGTATACTTGAGATAAGGTAAATATTGTAACATTGAACTTTATTTCAACCATGGGAATTGACTGAGTAAATTCATTGGATGGCAGATGTGTTTTTCTGTATCCATGGTATATGGACCAAAGCCGAGATGCAATGTCATGCAAACTCAGTAACATTGTACGAGGATACCACCGAAGCCGACGTGATACGCATGTCAAATGCTGAAATCTATCAAGTGTCTACTGAGGTTCCCTGCATTCTTCGTTTATTCTACAGCTATTGTGAACGAAATGCTGGGATAGTATTATCACATTTTGAAAAGCCCGGTAGAAAAAAACCCCATCTCCATTGCCATAGTGATAAAATACCTAATATCAGCAAATAATTATCTTCCAGTTTCTTTCACAATTATATATCTTATGACATTCTATGTGTTGTTGGAACGTTGATTAATAAAGATAAGCATTAACCATAGACAAACATTCCATATTTATCAAGGCCAAGTTCCCTATCTCCTACACAGGGCGGTAGCCGATGTTTGCAATTTCAACTGCATGAAAGTAAACATTGCCAATATGTATACACACTCCAGAAAGAGTTTTTTTTAACTTTGATTACCTGAATGATTGAATAATATACAAGTTATTTTCACGCATTTTTTAGATAAACTATATTCAGTAATTTTGCTTACTTTATTCTCTTCTTTTATTTCAGACAATCGAACCAATACAGCCTGGGCGATGGGAAGCATCATTGACGTAGTCGCTGAGTTACTGATCCACATTGATAAAAACCATGTGACCAACATGAACCCTAACAACAACCTGGAATGAAATAATAAACGATCGCCAAAGGCAAATACATAGTGTTTGTTTTATTGATGATTGAATTTAATTTTAATGAATTTAACCTGAAAAAGAAATTCGTGCATTGGTTTCTATAAATTGAGCAAACAGTGAAACCGTGAAATAGGTAATCAAGTCTTGGACTTGGTTTTGATATTGATGACTGAAACAATGAATGAATGAATTGGGGATAGTATTTGTTCTCAGCTCACCATCTTGGTTTTGTACCTGAAATCATCAACACGCCTAACGCTATTCGCCGATGAAGATTCCAGTTTTCAATTGCAATAGCCATCATTATACCTCCAAGTAACAGAGCGCTGGTGTCCTTGAAATACATCGAAGCTGTAGCGCCACCATCCATAATGCCAAACACGGGGAATAGGGCCAGTGGTATCAGAGAAGTAACTGATATAGGCATGCATTCGAAAACCCAATAAAGTGCCATTACTAATAAGACATAGCCACAATAGGATTCCTGTATGGAAGCAAAACAAAGAAATTTATTTAGTATTGGCATTGACGTAATCGAAACGATATTGTATGCACACATCTGTTCACAAAATACTCCATCTTGACAATAGAATATACGTAATTTGACATGTGGGGATAATTTTGCAATAACTAACGATTAACAACTGTTTTGTTTTTCTTTCTGTGTAGACAATGAATGGCGCGGAAATATATATGCAAGAACAAGATAAAAACTGGGTTGGAAGGTGGATTTTGTAGTTTCATATTCGGATTAATTAAGTACATTCAATGTGTTTGAACATTTGAAAAAATACAGAGTGTGGATGTGGACATCAACCACTGGGATTTGAGCCAACAAACATCGCAATGTAATCACTATGATATTAATGTAATCATGACCCGTGTGCGTGACTGGAACTGGCACAATGAATGTGCAAAATGTTCTTAAAAATTACTCAATAATCACGCTCTGCGTGCGTGACTAGAACTGGCGCAAATGACATCCAGAATCCGTATACCAGATTAAGAAAGATTTAGCTGTGACGACATTTAATAGAGAGCACTTGATACAGCAAAACCAATGTTTACATTAACTCTATATAAAAAAAAAAACAAATTTGAAGGACTGCATGGAGAATTGTAGATGTTTTAAACTGATATAAACATTGCGAAATGTATATAAACAATTATACTCACCGATGTAGGAACCGCAATAATCAATGGAAGGCATAATATTGGGATAAAAAGAATTACAAAAATGTCCATAAATGACCACAGTTCCCAAAATATCTGTTTACAATTAGATCCCATTTTAGCTCACGTATCACAGTCAGTCGACAAGATTCTTCTAACTGCAGTTTCCCAGTTGGGAAGAACCATGCATCGGTGCACGTAGGTGACTCTGAACTGACAACCGCCTCGGTAGGTCATCAAGATACGGTGGGTTCTTAGTGGGATGGATACGTGGTATATCTGATGTACAGCGAATAAAGCCTGCCTTGGGTCATGGCCATCCCTAACTCAAAATGCTCGGGGTTAAAAAAAGTTCACGTAATGATTGACTAGACTATAAAGCTCAAATTGGGATTTTTACAAAATAAAGTGAAATGAGTGTGCTACAATATGCGATATAATATTAATATATCCTTCCCTCACTTTCCCTGACATTTTACATTGAGACTCCTGGGGGGTCATATCGCTTAGACAAACATATCTACACTGTAATTAACCTGCGATGATGAATGAAGCCTCCTAACTCCGTTTCTGTTTACAAATAAAAACTTTTTTGGAAAGCTCTTTTAAATACACATTCTACAGTCATTTTTTTCAATTGCCATCAAACTGTTAAACATGTTGGATTCTCGAAAAATTAATTTTAAAAATTACGATCAATACATTTATTTTTGATATAACTTTAATATTTTGTAATGAATGTATAATAAATTCATGACTTGTGCAAGTGAAATGTGCAAGATGTATGTCCACAAGAATTCCAGCAAAACTAGTATAAGGTGTGCTCTTCTATTTTCGCATCTATATATAGTGCGTGGCATGATACAACTTCAACTTTGGCATTATCTACACGTTATAATGGACTGAGATGTGTGCATAACAGGTAATGAATTTGAGAACAATGCACTGACAAATACGGTTACTCGTCATTAATTGACTGTTCACAAATAAAGTCAGAATTCGATAAAGTCTAATATAGTAAATTATAGCTAAAAACAAATTAAATGTTATAGTATATAGTCATTATACTGTAGATGAAATTATATTATACCAGCATTTCAATTGGTGTATCTGGTTTATGTCCATATTTGGAATTAACAACTTTTTCTCCCATATCAGAGCTGTATGCATGATCAACCACAAACATATTTACCTCCCTCTCCATGGATAGTGCGCTCAGTTTTCATCAATCAGAAGAAAACGAATCATTCTAAATTACGTCGTGTGTTTGAGAACATGCCTTGGGAAAATTGTAATTACATCTATAAAACATATAATAAAATCTTATCGACTGAATACGGCTTTTGTATTTGTAGTTTTGTTACAATATAAAAACAACTTAATTGTACCGTTTTAATATGTATGTAGTGAGATAACACGATCGACTATATTTCCACAATCTCGTATACTGAATTTAATAAAATCTGTGGGGAAGTTATAAGAATACAAATATACGCCAGTGTATGAATTACCCGTGTTATCTCATTGCATCATGATTTTCATGTCAAAAACAATTGTATATGTAACGAAGAAATATACATCCAAAGACTTTCTATACGACGAGATTTCATTGCATTACTCGTCCTGTAATTCCAATAAAATGAGTTGGGGCGTGGTGTCAATCAAGGTGCTCAGAAAGAGAGCAAGTAGCCTGTAACCATTTGCTTTTCCCGACTGGTTATCATCAACTTGGATTTTCTTAAAATTGTAGGAGGAGATACATTCAAAAATAAGTTTTTTTTGGCTGTTTGCAATTTTTTTTTAGATTTTACCACCTGACTAGAGTGAAAGTGCGACATGCCTGCCAAGTTTAAGCGAAATCGGCCCAGCCAAAAAAAAAATCACAGAAGAATTAATACGTGAAGACACTGGAAATCACGCAGACACACACTCAGCGACTGAGATCTCAACGTCGGATAATTGCGTCGAAGGTCAATTCTAAAATTTGTCAGTGCCCAATTATAATCCTGCAACCAATATCATTTTATTTTATTTTATTTTATTTTATTTTATTTTATTTTAATTTATTTATTTATTTTATTTATAAACTGGTATAATCCGGTAACCAATATCACAAAATACAATGTATGTTATTATGATTTTTCCTATTTCAGAGCTTTCAAAATATATACTGATTTATTTTATTTTATTTTAAGCCCAACTAAAAGCAAAATCTGAGACGACCAAATGACACAGGACAAAACTAATTACTACATAAACTAACCCTAAATCATAACAATACAATCATGTAAAATAAAATGCACAATTTGCAAGGAGATTACCAAGGCAATTTTGTTTTTGCGGTGGCTTGTAAAAGTGAACAAGATAGAATAGTTGAATTCTGTGAACTGTGCTGTCAAAAGTCGGGTTGACGGATCCGTGAAATTCACTGACGCTATAAAGCTCATCAAAAATGAGAGATAAAGGTAGTTGTGTATAATATACGAAGCTCCAAACGTCTCTGACTTCAATGCTGCAAAGAACTTTTTACCCATCCCAGCTCATTTTAATTCCACAAACCACAGTATTGTTAATCTTAAGGTTACAGGTATTGATGCTGACTTCAAAAACATTCACCACCGTAAAATCCAGGATAGAAAAATTAGGCACTATTTCTCCAAACGGACTGAATAGAAGAGAAGAACATATTTTTTAATTCTTTATTTAACCATTGAGGGCGCCACATTCATGCTTTCACACCTTGGGGCGGACATCCGGGCATTTTCACCGCCGGGCAACCGGCGGCGGTGAAAACAAAGGCCCAAAACTCGCAGAAAACGGTACTTTGGGGTCTGTGACGT